CTGCATTTACTTGCTGTAGGTGACAGTTTATTAATCTGGAAGCTCCTGTAATAAAGTGACTCGGTTTTAAAAGCCTAGAGCAGTCTCAACATGCCAAGAGATGATACTGTAGTGCCCAAGCTAGAAAACCACGTCAATTAATTCATCTAAAGCCAGAAAGGGATTTTAGTAACATGTGATTTCAATCTGCTCTGCCTGGGAAGCTTGGAAATGGTCTACGCTTTGCCATTCCCTGCAACATCTGAAAATCAACCGCTGCTTCAAAGTCACACTGATTTATATAGACAATAGCACCTCTTGTTATGCCCCAACACCAGGAACAATATAACTCTAGCTTACAATACATTTATTTTCAGAAATTTTTTTGTAAAACAATTTATTCATTCAAAGAATTCGTAAGTATTCTACCTATAATGTTATCATACATACACATCAAGTTATCTCTATTCATTTTTAGTGTAAAATATAACCTGGAAGGAAAAAATCGGCTATTATCAGGCACTAGCTTGGTAAATTCAAGCTGTTCAAAAAGTTACATTACTTTAAAATACATGTATTTCTGGGTTTAATAATCTTATGGCCCAAAAGAATCATCTTAATATTGACTCTGTTACTTAAATTTCTTCCTCCTTATTCCCAATAAGAAGACTTTCAGATTTTTCTAAGCAAATCAAAATAAAAGAACTGGGGGCATCTGGGTGGCTCACTCAGTTGAGCATTCTTGGTTTTGGCTCAGGTTCATGACCTTGGGGTCAAACACCATGTCAGGCTCCAAGCTTAGCAGGGAGTTTGCTTGAGATTCTCTCTCTCCCTCTCCCTCTGCTCCCACCTCTCTCTCTTTTTCTCCTCTCTCTTTCAAATAAATAAATAAATCTTTAAAATTTTTTTAAAAATAAAAGAACTGACTTTTAAAAAAATTAGTTCCAGTGGTTCCTCAAAATCTAGTTCTATTTAAGCTTTAGAAGACACTTCAGAAGTAATTTAGTTGAACCTAAAAATATTCAAAACAGCAACACAGGCTTCTTAATTATTGGCAAAAGTTCTTAATAATTAGCAAACATTTATTGAGCACCTATAGTGATACAAAGGGGAATCTAATTTACAGATTCTGGATGCTCCCTACAGCTCTGTCTTTCCAAAATCCTATCTCATTGGGTTTAAATTCTTGCTCCATATCTTGTGGAAGATTTCTTTTTTTTTTCTTTTTAAGATTTTATTTATTTATTTGACAGATCACAAGTAGGCAGAGAGGCAGGCAAAGAGAGAGGGGGAAGCAGGCTCCCCGCTGAGCAGAGAGCCCAATGCAGGGCTTGATCCCAGGACCCTGGGATCATGACCTGAGCTGAAGGCAGAGGCTTTAACCCACTGAGCCACCCAGGCGCCCCTGTGGAAGATTTCATATGAGTGTTTGACCTCTATACTTCCTCATCTGCAAAATGAAAGTAGTAAGTTATCTCATAAAATTGCTTTAAATGAATTAGATAATGTATGCAAAAAACACAGGTATAAATGTGAGCTTTAAAATAATAATAATAATAATAGCTTATAAGACATTATTATTAAATTTTGCATGATGTTGCATTCAAGAAGTTCCTTGTTGGGGAGCCCAAGTGGTGCAGTCAGCTAAGCATCTGATTCTTGGTTTCAGCTCAGGTCGTGATCTCAGGGCCCTGATCTCAGGATCGTGAAATGGAGCCCCATGGCTCCATTGGGCTCCCTGCTCAGTGCAGGGCTGCTTCAGACTCTCTCTCCCTCTGCCCCTCTTCGCTGTGGGTGCGCTCTCTCTCTTTCAAATAAATAAATCTTTTTAAAAAGAACAAGGAGGAGGAGGAGAGGAATTTCCATTGTTTCCAGTTTACAAGATTTCCTAAGAGAAGTGACCAGAGCTTGAATTTTGGTCTATCACCTTGGGTCACATTCTGCTCCACAACTGTGAGCTTTAGGAAACTTTTTCTCTCAATATTTTCAACTACTGAATACTCTTCTGCACTCCCTAAGATTCAAGTTAAATTTCAAGTCACCTCTTATGTAGGAAGTGGCAATTATATTTGACTAATTGACATAACTCCAATGGGAAGGGATTCTGTCAATAACAGAAATAAAAAATGTAAACAGGTGAAGAGAAGCTCTAGTGACGAAACCATAGCTGTTGGCTCACCTCTCTGGTCCTAGTCATCTCTTGTGAACCGGGAACCATTTAAGTCACATGTTCTCTCAAGGAGAAATGCCTCATAAACAGGTATTAGAGGAGGAAAGCATTTAACCAAAGCCAGGTAGTCTTTACAGAAAAGCAATACCAGGAAACTCTAAGCAGCTTTTTAATCTATGGACAAGATAATCACTGAGACTGAGGTGATAATTGTTATTCCCATTAAAAGAGTGATAAGCACAAAAATCAACTCAAAATGCTCTAAAGACTTAAAACATAGACCACAAACTATAAAACACTTAGAAGAGGGGCGCCTGGGTGGCTCAGTGGGTTAAAGCCTCTGCCTTTGGCTCAGGTCATGATCCCAGAATCCTGGGATAAAGCCCCACATCCAGCCCCACATCTAGCCCTGCATCCAGCCTTACATTGGGCAGGGAGCCCGATGCAGGGCTTGATCCCAGGACCCTGGGATCATGACCTGAGCCAAAGGCAGATAGTTAACGACTGAGCCACCCAGGCACCCCTGTAATTGGATTTTTATACATAGTTTATTTGTGGAAGAAAAATATTGGCTAAAACTTATGCTGGTATTATTTATCATAACTAATACTTGCAGGGAAATTCATGTGTTACAGTGGTGTCCTCCAAATAACTGTTAATAGCCCTTCCAGTAGTCAAATCATTACACAAGAATCTTTTAATCTTCCATTAACTCTCCCAGTTTCCTTCACCTCATCCTGAGTAGGGACTTTGACCAAAGAGATACCATCTGTCAGGGGAATTATGACAAACAATGCTGATACTTCAGATGACAGCAGTAACACAGCCTTCTACCAGCCTTTTCTTTCTCTTTCACTCCTTCTCCTCCTGCTGCTTAAAAAAAAAAAATTATTTTTCAGAGTAATTTTACCCACATTACAAATCAGATAATTTTTGCAAAAATCATGCAAGGCAGGCAGTATAGGTATTACTGTCCATATCTTTCAGCTGAGAAAACTAAAGCAGGCAAAGAGAGATTGTACAAGGAACTAGCCTATAATAGTTTCTTTGGCTGCAAGCAAAAAATTTTCTCCAATTGAGAAGGAAAAGTGGGCATAAATGTAGACAGGAAAACCAGAGATCTTCAGACAGCCTCAGGAGCCACGCTGGAGATTCACTAGGCAAAGTGCCACTATGGGCAGGAGGCAATATTTAGAGATGAAGTCATCTAGTCCAACACAGCTATTTTACTGAAGAGGAAACTTGCTTGCCCTCAGCAGCCAGAAAGTGTGAAAAAGAGTCTATGATCTACAGGCAGGAGACCTATTTTCTGGCCTCATTGTGCCACGAACCTTAGGACCAACCTACCTAGCTATCAACCTGCAGACATTTGACTTGGATGTCCTACAAGAATTTCAAAACATGTCCAAAATATTTCCCTCTGCATGCCTGCCCACCCAACCCCAACTCCTGTGGTGATCATCTCAATAAACAGCCCAGGACAGGATCCTAGCAATCATCCCTCTCCTTCTCTCCTTCTCTCCTTCATCTCCCATGTCCTCTCAGTGACCAAATTCTACTACAAATCTTTCAAGTCCATCTCCTCCTCCCCATTTCTCCTGTCACTGTCTCAGTTCAGGCCCTCACTATCCCTGGCCCGGATTAGGTTACCACAGCTGTCCAACAGGTTTCCTGGCTCCCACTCTCGCTCTGTTTCAAACCAGCTGCCACTCCGCCTGCCACCAAGAGAGCTTTCTAAACCAGATATTGTCACTGCTCTAATTATTAATTGGTTTTCCACCAACAATTGGATGAAGCCTAAAGTTCTAAGCAGGACGTCCTAATCTGTTTGTGATTTGGCCTCTGCCCTTTTCTCTCACTTCATCTTTCACCGCTCATAACTTCAGCCAAGCCCAAGTTTTGCAGTTCCTCCAATGTCACCTTTGGCTTTGACACTAATGGTTCACTCTTCCTGGAAGTCTCCCCCCTTCTCCTGCCCATTGCCTGGCTAAAATTAACTCACCCTTCTAGACTCAGCTTAGGTTGGAATTTTTTTTGGCACCCCTTTTATATGTTCCTTTGGTACTCCCACGGCATCTTGTGCAAAGTAAAGAGTCGCTATTCATCCTGAACTATGTTTGTTCACACATCTGTGTCCCTTGCTAAACTCAGCTGTGGGATGGCATGTATAGTATCCTATTCAGTGTTTAGAATTAAATATCAATCCAACAAACATTTGAGGACCTACTTTATGCCAGGTATTGTAGATATGAGAGATATGGCAGTGAACAAAGCAAAGACACTCCTTGCTATTAAGTGGGAGGAGACATCACAGATAAATGAACACATAAATAAGCAAGAGAACGGTAGAATGAAAAGTGCTTTACAGAGTAAATAAGCCACGTGGTAAAGAAAGTGACTGGATGGCTCCTTTAGATAGGTTTGTCTGGAAGTTCCCTCTGGGGGAGTGACATTTAAGCTGATGAGGGAATGCCAATGAACCGGTATGGAGAAAGAAAACCTTCCAGGAGGGAGGACTACCCGTACAAAAGAACCAAAGGGTGGCCATGTGGGGGTTACAAAAGCGTGGGAAATAGTGAAGACGGGGTCAGAGAAGAAGACTGGGACCATATATATACACTTCGCAGCCAGAGTAGAGTTTTGATTTTGTGCTACGTGTAATGGGGAGTGACATGATCTGATTTATATCTAGAACTGGTATGTGGATAATGGGCCGCCCGGAGTCTTAAACACATTAGTCTGGAGGAGAGAAACGTCCGGATTCAGAGGTGGCAGCAGTTTGGGACCCAATGGACGTATCTGGGAAATACGTGTGAGTGACCGGGACCTGCCGGTGGACAGATGAATAAAGGCTCAGCGCACGCAGATTTTCCGCCCGCACGCCCGGGCCGGTACTGCAGTACAGAGCAGGCGCACGGGGACTCCTAGGAGGAAGAGGGTATTGAAAAAGTTGCTCTGGGCGGGGCCCCCCCACCGTCCGGACTCTCGGGAGAGTTCGGGTCAGGCAGCTGGAAAGAGCAAGGCACACCCAGACTCACAGCCCGCCGCCTGCCAGCGCCGGGACCGCACAGCACCGAGCACCCGCCCGACTGGCGACGCGCGCCGACCTGGCCTCCACGTGCCCCGCGCGGGGGTTTCCGCGTCCTCTGGGCGGAGCCGGAAGAGGAAGTCGGCGCTACAGCGGCGGCCCGCACCTCCCCGCGCCGTCCGCGCCCGTCCGACCCGGCCACGGAGACAGCGCCGCGGCGGGACCCGGAACCTGTACCCGCCGAGAAGCGCCGCGCCGCTGAGCGCCCAGCAGTCCGATGGGGCCGCAGCGGCCGCTACTCACGGCCGCGACCGCCCTGCTCTGGGGCTTCCTGCTCCCGCTGGTAAGGGGGACGGCCGGGCGCTCGGGCCTCCCCGGGGCGGGGCCGGGGCTCCCTGCCCGGTTCTCCTCCCCACCTTCTCCTCCCCACCCCTTCTCCTCCCCACCCCTTCTCCTCCCCACCCCTTCTCCTCCCCACCCCCGGGCTCCTGCCCCGCGACTCCTTTTCCAGCCCACTACCGGCCTGCCCCCTTCCCGTTTCTCCATTTCCTTCCTGCCGCCTCGTCCTCTTTCTTCCAGACTTCCCACCCCACCCCCATTCCCGGCATTTGAAGTCCTCGAAGTACCCACCCCCGAGCAAGCTCTCTGCTGAGCCCCTCTTGCTGCATTGTCCTTGAATATTCACCATAGTTTTTCATGGTTCCGGGCGTTCTAAATTGACCTGAGTTCTATCGTCAACCCTTTCTTTCTTTCTTTTTTTTAAGATCTTATTTATTTATTTATTTGACAGAGACCACAAGTAGGTAGAGAGGCAGGCAGAGAGAGAGAGAAAGAGAGAGCGCGAGAGGAGGAAGTAGGCTCCCCGCTGAGCAGGGAGCCCGATGCGGGGCTCCATCCTAGGACCTTGGGATCATGACCTGAGCCGAAGGCAGAGGCCCTAACCCACTGAGCCACCCAGGTGCCCCCGTCAACCCTTTCTTAAAACATCTTGATCTCTTCCACCGTCCGGAAGAAGAAAAAAATTATACGCGCCCCCCGGGTGTTAAGCGGTTCAAAGACTGCGCTTTAGTTTAATTGCTCGAATACAGGTGGTTTTTTTGTTGTTGTTGTTGTTTTTTGTGGTTGGTTGGTTTGTTTGCTTTCTCTAATTTAGTTCCTGCTTCCCCATAGGGCTCATTCGATTTCGTTGTGTGTGTGTGGGGGGGGGGGTTGATAATAGTAATAACTTGGCATCACACTGTATGCTCTGGTTTTCAGTTCTCCACCTAGTTTAATGAGGAGGGGGGTCGGTTAAGTAACAGTAGCAAACAATGTGTTCACAAGTGTTTTCATAATTAGGAAAAGCAGTAATGTTTTAAAATTCAGCATCAACAGGGCACCTGGGTGGCTCAGTCGGTTAAGCGTCTGCCTTCAGGTCTTGATCCCAAGGTCCTGGGATGGGCTCCCTGCTCAGCGGGACCCCTGTTTCTCCCTCCATCCCCCAGTTTGTGCGCTCTCTTTCCCTCACTCTCTCTCTCAAGTAAATAAAATATTTTTAAAAAGTTAAACATTAAGCAACCGGAGCTTCGGCGAATGGCCAGGACACTAGTGTTCGGTGTTTCAGTTTTTATTTCTTGGAAATTTCATTAGGGAGTTTGAGGTCAGAAACTTTTGTGAGCTCTATCTACACGGAATTGATACGGTGTGTTCCTGTCTAGTTCTTTCCATTAGAATATGTAGCTTTTCTGAAAAAGTATATTTTGCATTCTCTGCTATTTAAAGGTTTAGTGTTAGTGAGTATATTTAATATAAAAGTGTCTTTGACATTTATTAAGAAACCAAAATCAAAATCTAAAATGGTTAAGTGCCTTTGGTGTACTCCTAACTTTGCTAGGCAACAATAGGAACATGAATGAGATAATGTGTCTAAAAATTGCTTTTGTGGGATGAAGGGGAAGTACAATATAAAGAGAACAACAAAGTCACAGTGTTAGTCTGAATCTTTGAAGTGTAGTTTACCATGTACCATATGTCTAAAGGATAACAATTCAGGTGGTATGTAAATACACATGAAACTGTAACCTAGATATATATATAGATACATCTCTATATATATCCTATTCATCATATTCCCAATAATCTTTGCCAATACAGTAATTGATTTAATAATATATCAATTGCTGATAACTCACACTGAAATTATAATCAAAAGCCCTGAACCCTCTTTCTAAAAAATGTGATTAGAGTGTGATTTCAAGGGCTTCACAAATCTAAAGGTCACCCCTGTTCTAAATCATAGCTAGCCTATATCTTCCACAGTGTAGATTTTATTCTTTTTATACTGCACATTTATATATTTTATATGGCACATTATATTTTGTTGTATCTCACTGTGCTAATTCTTGGGAAGATCTTCTCAGGGCTGTTGTGGGACTCAGTAAGGTGTTTTTCCTCTGCAAATATGTAGTATGCATCTATTATATGCCAGGCACTGTGCCAGTGAGCATGAGTAAAATGCCAAGATTTTTTTGAGTTGTAGAGATCTTTTTCAGAGCCAACCACTGTTACAGATTTTTCTGTTGTTGGTTTCTCAGTGGGTCTCTTTTCTTCTTGACCCTTCCTGAAATGATCTCTTTTCTTTTCTGAGGAACTCAAATCTGGTGTACCTTTCCTCAGCAGGCTCATTATTTCTCCTTTCAGCCTTCTTACTGGATACCTACTTCCTTTGTCTGGAGTCTTTTGGACTTTTTTTTTTTTTCTTTTTACCATTTTGTCCCTGAAGCCCTTGCTTGTTCCTCTTTCTTAATCTTATAGCTCTAGGTGGCCTCTTTGTTCATTTGAATGATGGCAGTTTAATCATTTCATTTCTCCTTTCTGGGCTTTTGAAGCTGGCACTGATACCAGCTTTCTTTCCCTTTAGTTATATAAGAATAAGGCTACTGTCTTCATGTAGAAGCAGCACACTCCAGAAACCACTGCCTCATCTTTTAGAAAAGGAAGAGGATTAAGTATTAGAAAGGCCCTTCAGCATCATGTAGCCTACCCTCCTCATCTTGTCCTCCTCACACCAGTTGACCTCCTGTTAAACTCAAGCTATAGTATATCTGGCTGTTTTGATGATTTCTAAACCCATTAAACATTTAAGTCTAGAAATAAAAAAGAGCGTGTGGCACATAGTTAGTGCTCTCTTGGCCTTGCCATGATTCCATTTCAGTCTTCCTTCCCCAGTCCAATCCCCATCCCTAGCTGCGACTGTTAGGGCTTTATTTCATGGTGGTATTTGGACCCAATCACAGAGTTCTGTTTCAAAAACAATGAGTAAAGTTTAGGCTGGGTCTGTTTTCTAAAATTGCTTCAAAGTTCTCTGAAGAATCCTGAATCTTTCCCATAATGTTTTTACAAAAGTTCTGTTCATTTTTTTGTCATTACTTCAAAGAATTTGATGTGTTACATAGTTACATCTTGAACTTATTACAGTGAAGTGATAATCAGGATCCCCAGCAGAGAAATATCTTGCTGAAATCTGCATTCCTTTGATATACTCAAAGAATCTTCTCTAATTCCCTCTCTTCTGTGCTCCTCTCTCATCCTCTTGGGGAAAGAATGTATGTTCTGCTACCCGAGCTGTCAGGGACATGCTGAGTTGCTGTGTTGTAGACTGAATTGTATCTCCCAAAAATTCATATGTTGAAACCCTGGCCCCCAGTGTGATGGTGTTTGGAAAGGGGTCCTCTACGAGGTAGGTAGGTTTAGAGAGGTCAGAGGATAGATCCCTTGTGATGGATTGATGCCTTGTAAGAAAAGACACCAAAGAGCTTGTTCTCTCTTCCCTAATACCCGTCCCCCCACACATACCATGTGATGACCCAGTGAGAAAGTGTCCATCCACAAGCCAAAAAGAAAACTCTTACCAGAAACCAACCATGTTGGCACCTTTATCTTAGACTTCTAGTTTCTAGAACTGTGAGAAAATAAATTTCTGTTTAAGCTACCCACCGTTTGGTATTCTGTTGTGGCAGCCCAAGCTGACTAAGGCAGATTTGGGCAGGAGTGCAATGCTGCAACAGCGAATACCTAAGCATGTGGTAGCGGCTTTGTAACTGGGTTGAGGCCAGAAGAGGTTTGAGGTGCATGCCAGAAATACGGACATTAAGGACAGTTCTGGTGAAGTCCCAGAAATGCAGAACATGTTATTAGAAAGTGAAGGAAGCGTAGTCCTTATTCTAAAATGGCAAAGAACTTGGCTGGACTGTGATGTAGTATAGTGTTGTTTAGAAGGAAGAATTGTGAACAGTGCAATTAGATACTTAGCTGAGGTGATTTCTAAGCAGAGTGTTGATGGAGCAGTGTGATTCCTCCTGAGTGCATATATAGTAAAGTGTAAATGAAGAAAGACTGTTGGACTTCTTGGATTTGACAGGTGGGATGGTGCAGCTCTGTGGCTCTGGATGTGTGGATTATTCTTCAGGACAGAGGAGAAATGAACCCAAAGGCAAAATCAGAGATCAGGCCACTGCCTCAGTTTCAGCAGGTCTTATGGCCTCTGCTTGGAGCCTTGGGGGACTCGGTGGACTTGACTACCAGTATGCCTGGAAGGTGGGACGTTGAACCGAAAAGGATTATTCTTGATCCTTACGATCTAATGGAATTTATTTTGCTAGGTTTTAGACTTGCTTGGGTCCTGTCACCACATTCTTCCTTCTGATTTCCCACACATACACACCCTTTTTTTTTTTTTTTTTTTTTTCCAAGAGAGAGGAAGTGTGGGGGACAGGGGACAGAAGACGGGAGCAGAGAGAGAGAGAGAGAATCTTAAGCAGGTTCCATGCCCAGCACAGAGCCCAACTCGGGGCTTAGTCTTCAGTCTCAGGACCCTGAAATCATGACCAGAGTGGAAATCAAGAGTCTGACAATTGAGTTACCCCGGCGCCCCTCCCTTTTGGAATGCAAATGTCTACCCTGTGTCTGTCCTACCATTATATTTTGGAAGCATATAACTTACCTGGTTCTGCAGGTTCATAGCCGGAGAGGAATTTTGCCTCAGAATGAACTGTATCTTGAGTTTTACCCATATTTGACTTAGATGATATTAGATGAAACTTTGGACTTCAGAGCTAATCCTGGAATGAGTTAATAAGCCTTTGGGCGCTGTTGGGATGAAATGAGTGTACTTTATGTGTGAGAAGAAAATGAATTTGGGGGCCCAGGAGCAAAATGCTATGGACTGAATTGCCCTCAAACTCAGGTTGAAGCCCTAACCCCCAGTGTGACGGTATTTGGAGACTGGCCTTTGGGAGATAATTAGGTTTAGAGGAGGTCATCAGCACAGGACCCTTATGATGGGATTGTTGCCTTGTTCTCTTTCCCAACCATGTGATGAAAGCAGCCATCTACAAGCTAAGAAAAGATTCCTTACCAGAAATCAATTAAGGACAAGTATGTTTGCACCTTGATCTTGAACTTCTAGGTTCCAGACTATGAGAAAATAAATTTCTTTTGTTTAAGCCACCCAGTCTGTGGTATTTTGTTACAACAGCACGGTATTAAACATACTGGTTCTGTCACATTCCTTCCTTAACTCTTAGATTCTTCACAAATTTTTTTTTAACCTTCTCTCCTCTAGCCTACCTCTGAGGATTCTGTATCCCATTGTCTGCTTTATCAGTCACTGATGGCTGTGCTATCTCTTTCCCAAAATGTAACCTACATCTCCTCTCAAAATAATCCTGAAAAGGTTCAGGAAGATTATGACTTGTCTTAGATCATACAGAAAGCCATGAAAAAGAGGACTAGAACCCAGGGTTTCTTAAATATTCCTTGATATTTTTCCACTAAGTTGTGCAATAATGTTTTCTGTGCATCAAGAATACGTCAGAAGTCTAATTGGAGGGGCGCCTGGGTGGCTCAGTGGGTTAATCCTCTGCCTTCAGCTCAGGTCATGATCTCAGGGTACTAGGATCGAGCTCAGGATCCTAGCTTGATGGAGCCCGCATCAGGCTGTCTGCTTAGCAGGGAGCCTACTTCCCCCCTCTCTGCCTGCTGCTCTGCCAACTTGTGATCTTTCTCTCTCTCTCTCTGTCAAATAAATAAATAAAATCTTAAAAAAAAAAAAAAAAAGGAAGACTGGGTAAACTTGTGAATTTATTTGTACAAAAGGGTTTAAAGATAGAAGTTATGTATATTATATATTTGATAACTTTGGCTAAAAATCACCTGAAATTGGGTCTGTTTACAAAACTCTAGACCATAAAGTCTCCAGATACAGATCCTTACTCCAAAACACTAAGATTTTGTTAAAAATTTTATTGTTTTTAGGTCAGAATTTGCGAAACATCACTATGCACTATAATCTTAAATCAACTTTTTATGCATTTATGTTGCCTGGCCTTGTAGTCATTTGAATTTGTGAATTCTGGTATAAATCACAAATTCTGTAACAGTTGAGATATATCATTAAGTAGTAAGATTACTTAGGGAAAACCAAGAAGAAGGATAGATCTAAGTAACTAGTAAAATAGGAGCCTCTTGAAGGGGAAACTTTACCAGACTCATTCTCTGCTGTCTCCCCTAGCATCTCATAGACTGCAGAATACTGAATAAATGAATGTCTTCTCCCCACACCGTAATACCTCTTTGCCTGTATGTTACAATCCCCAGATTTTCTGAGTGCAAGGGTGATGCTGGCTCGGCTTTTCCCATGGCCCACAGACTCCTGATTCCCTGTAAATAGCTGTTCAATGCCTTAGCACCCGCTGAGCCACTAATTAAGTGGTTAAGATTACACTTAATCTTAATGGGTCTGGGTCTAGTCACTTTGAGTGCATCATTTCCATCAACCTTGAATCCTGGAGGTAGGAGTAGAAACAATGCAGGTTGTTGATTATATAAAGTATTAGGAAATTGACATAGAAAATACATAATAATGAATGATCAGAAAGTTACTTAGGGGGCACCTGGGTGGCTCAGTCATTAAGCGTCTGCCTTCAGCTCAGGTCATGATCCCAGGGTTCTGGGATCGAGTTCCACATTGGGCTCCCTACTCAGCGGGGATCCTGCTTCTCCCTTTCCCTCTCTCCCTGCTTGTGTTCCTCTCTCACTCTCTCTGTCAAATAAATAAATAAAATCTTAAAAAAAAAAAAAAGTTACTTAAGCCTAACTTTGGAGTGTGTCATTCAAGATACACAACCTCAACTCTTGTCTTTCCTATAGAGGCCCCCTCCTGCTCTTACTGTATTGCTATTAACTCTAGCTGTATAAAGGGAAAGATGTCTATAAAGAAAGGGATGCCTCCTACATTGCTAGGTTATAAGGGTGATGGGGTAGGTGACTGTTGCTCCTGTTGCATTTAACATTCATGATTACATTGCAACTTTTTATCTTCTGGTTTAGGAATATAGCACCTTTATTTATTTATTTTGAATATAGTGTGTGTTTTTTTTTTAATTTTTATTTATTTGACAGAAATCACAAGTAGGCAGAGAGGCAGGCAAAGAGAGGGGGGCAGGGAGGCTCCCTGCCAAGCAGAGAGCCTGATGTGGGGCTCAATCCCAGGAGCCTGGGATCATGACCCGAGCCGAAGGCAGAGGCTTTAATCCACTGAGCCACCCAGGCGCCCCTGGAATATAGCATCTTTTTAATTGCTGGTTTTCATTATAGATAAATTCTGTTTATTAACAAAATTTACCCCTAAGCCCCAGTTCTTGTATTTGGTGTCTAAACATGCAGAAATAATTTAATCTGTAGTTTTCATGAGGAAAGATTGCTGGAGGGTTAATTGGAGAGAGAATTATAGTCACATTTGTACATTGCCCCTTGAAACTAAAGGATGATGTATGTCTAATGGATAGCAATGCAAATAACATGAATCTGGTTTGATTGATAGACTGTGAAGGGGTTGGGGGAACCTGGGACCCAAGGATGCATATACTGAAGAGTTTTGAAGGAACTCATGGGTGAGTGGAACTCCTGGCCAAAAATAGGACTATTGGCTATACCAGCAGAAGACTGCAGGTACAGTGTGACTCACCTCTTGAGAAAATTCCTGGGAGGACCCCAATAATATCTAGAAGACTTGTTAGTTTCACCACTATTCATGATGCAGTGCATAACCATGTACTCCATATAACCAGAGCCTATATAACCATAACTCTGTATAACCAGAGCCTCACCTGGAAGCTTATTCAAAACGCATGATCATAAGCTCCACCCAAGAGCTGCCGGATCAGAATCTGCATTTAACGAAAACATTAAAGTTCAAGAGGCACTGATCTATAATAACAGCTAAGAAATTGCTGTACAGAGCATTGAGCATAATCTCTAGGAAGAAGGAAGAACCATGCTTAACAAATCTGTTGAGGCTTTTAAAGGGAATTAAATGTACACATGGGAAGAGGTTAACATTGTGTTACTCAGAGTTTTACTTCATCAGGTGAAAATGGGCCAAGATACAGAGTTCTGGCAGACCCTAAGGGTCACATGTATACAGGATAGGAGGGAGCACAGTAGATACATTTTTAGTAGAGATTTGTTCTTTTCGAAAGAAATATGTGAAGACTTCAATTTGGGAAAGAAATCTGCTAGAAGATACTGTTTGAAGAAGAAAGAAGCGTAGAAGGCAAAACAAACCTGTGAACCAAGGATTCAAAGAAGAATCCTTGAACTGTGCTATTAGCTTGGGCAGGAGTAGAGCAGGCCTGTTCTCACTAGGTTAACATTGGGCTGGTGAGTCAGCATCAGGAGGCTGTTGGAACAGAGGCCCGTAATTCACATGCCCAGGAAGACGAGCAGGTACAGCATGGCTGTACTCCCAAGAGACAAGGACATGAATGAAGGTCAGTGCAAGGCTTACTCCCCATAAGTATACGGACGTGGTCAAGTTCCTCTTGTACGTGTCCCTTTAGTTTACGGTCCAACTGGTCTGAGAAGATGGGGAGCTAGTACGTGTGCAGGCATGGGAGTGTAGTAGACATCATTGCAGGTGTTCCTTTTTAGGCTTTTGGTAATCATTTGACACCTGTCATACCGAAAGCTGTTGAGAAAAATAAGCAAAGGCATAGGTCACTGTAACATTAAGATAGATTTAGACACCAATATTTTTGGCTTGAAAAGAAGATGATAGGGAATATGAGTAAAGTCAAGTGATCTAGATAAAGTAAATTCGGAACTGTTTGTGAGCAACAGACATCCCATGAAGTTTTAAGGAGGTAAATTTGGGGCAGAAAAGGAAGTACTACTTTACTACCATGGGCTAGTCAAGTTATCTTGCCTATGAGGATCAAGTAAGATGTGAATATGAAGGCACCACTATAAAACCAATGATTTGATGATCCTGGAGAAAACCTGATACCACAGTCAGTACTTGTAGGACCTGGTATGAAGAGGGAAGTTTTGGGGGAGCAGTAAGGCATTGTCCTAGGAAAAGAAATTGTGTGAAGCTCTAGAGACCTAGAGTTGGGAGTATTTAGAAGAGTATAAGGAAAAGATGTGGGAGGAACTAATTGGGTATTAGAGGAATTTGGGGTAGGAGATCTACACTGGTATCACAGACAAGGGAGTGAACAGCCAATGTAGAGATCCATGTGACCAGTATAAAACAG